TTATTAAAAATAATATAAAACAACAAAGAAAAACAAAAAACATACTGACAATCAATGTTGATACCGATATTGACAAAAAAAATATAATAATAATAATAATTATTTCTATTAAATAAAATAGTAACTTCCGTCTTAACGAACGTTAAATTACAACTTATATTAAAAATATATGGTCGGGCTCGTGCGAATCGGGGAGTAACATTAGCATACTTTCTCCATATTACGTTCCTAGATTAGGTTCTATACATAAGAAAGAATAATATAAAAGCTTGCAACAAATAATGCCTCCACAAAAGAATAATTTAAAAACTTAACAATTAAAAATAAGTATAAATAATTCAAATAATTCAATTATTCTGAAGCTGGTTTATAATTTCGTTCTAATATAACACAGCAAATGAAGGCGGCTTTGGGTTAGTTGGCTAATGAACGCTGACTCTAAGCCTCAAATTTGGCAGGGCACGACTTTAACCTTTGGTAATTGCAGTTTAAACAAAAAAATATTTTCGAACAAGTGAATATACCAAATAATTCCAACACCTCTGATGATGGGTATTTGGCAATATTTGAAACACCTGCTTAGGCAGCCAAAAATTCAATTAATTAAAAATAATAAAAAATTTTTATTGCTGCAATTCAGTACTATTTGATAAAAACCTTTCCGTTGAAAATACTGGTTAATGTTCGGAAATAAATATAAAAATAAATATATAATGAATTTAAAACATTTTTATGTGTTGCTGTGTATGTAATATTTTTTTTTTACTCTATTTTAAAATGCGTACTCATCAATATTGAACGGAATTACCAGGGAAAAAACATTGCAATACCAACAGACAGCCAAGCGGCGATCAAGGCACTAAACTCGCATCAGGTGACCTCAAGACTGGTATTAGACTGGCTTGATAAGCTAAATCTGCTTGGCGAAACAAATCAAGTGTCGATTCTTTGGGTCCCGGGACATACTGGAGTACGCGAAACAAACACGCGGATAAACTAGTCAGGAAAGGAGCAGCCTTTTTGTGGATTAGGAAATAGCACGCTCCTTTCTCTCATAAAAATAAAGGCGAACCAGAATAAAAAGGATTACTGGGATAATATACCAGGATTAAAACGATCCAAATCACTTATTGGTATCTATAACAATAAGAGATACCAGGATTGTATGAACCTATCAAAAAAAAAAAACTTAGAATCATCACAGGAATCCTAACAGGGCACTATAAACTAAAATACAGCCTTACAAGACTGGGTATACATACAGATACAAACTGTAGATTCTGTTAAGAGAATGAGGATTCGGCCACACATGTGCAGTTAGAATGCCCTGCGCTAATGCACATGTGAAATAGGCTCCTAGGAATATATATATTCTTTCGGAAGAGGCAATAAAACTCTGTAAGGTAGGGGTTCTATACTACTTTTTATTGACGCAACAGGGCTTAAAGACCTACTCCAAGCCCAGAAGGGGACACAATAGACCCGACGATCGCAGTGCTACATCCCCTAACAATAATAATAATAATGTATGTAATATATATAGTAAGTGGTATTTTAGCCTAACTCTGCCAAATAATTTTACGTGAGTAATCAAAACGTTAATGATATCTTCGATATCCTTTTTATAATGCTCACATTTATTTTTTTATTAGAAATAATCACTTCAAATTAATTCTTTCTGGTTAGACAAACATGTCGTATTTTCCCAAGTTTTTTTTATTGTCTTCAATTTTGATTTAAAACTATGTTTAAGTATATTTCCTATCAACTTCTACTTTTTTCAATAGATATTATCTTACCATAATACTACAGCAAACTGAATATTTTTCCAAATCTAAATTTCTGAAAACCGTGTCCGATAAATTAATTTGCACGCAGTCAAACGAGCGAAAGATTGGTATGCTTTGAAATCTATCTAAGTTAGATAAAAACTTAAACGACAATCGAATTTTGTGGTGGAAGAAACTATTTTAATATTGTATAAAATCCAGGAAAAGTACAAATCTCATGGGT